TCTTAAATTGCGTTGTTCATTGTTTAATTGCATTAATTCATCAAATAAGAATAATTTTGAAGAAAAAAATCCATTAATACGCAACGATTCTAGTTACAACTAGACTTTCTGAATAGCTTGAATGACTAGTTCATTTTTCATACGAGGATGACTTCATGCAAGAGCTTCTGATGACGACTGAAAAGAAGCTACTATTATCTTGAAACTTCACTTTCCACTATATAGATGATGTCATCTTGCTGAATAGTGTCAAATTTGTCACAATGTTGGACTCGTATTTTCCATTGAAATTAAAAAAAAAGACTCAACAGATATAGTTTACTCTACCACTTATCTTGAAATCGACGATGAGGGTTGGTTGAGAACAAGTTTTACGACAAAAGAGATGAGCATAAATCAACCCATAAAAACACTCCTTACTAACCAATAAACTTTTCATTTCTATGTAGCAACATTATAGCAACACCTGCATATCTATACTATTAAAGGAGGAGACCTATTTCATTGAGCCTCAACTCCTCTGAAACAATAACAAGTCGGAATATTTATGATATGACATATAAATGTAGGGTTTTGCATTTCCTAAATTTGTCTTTGCATGCTCAGTCGACGTACTGCCCTCAAATTTAAATAAAACTCTTTATTTAAACACTTGCCCAATTGTAACGCGATTTCGCGGCATCTTCTTGTGGAGTATATATCTCCAAGTTGATACAATATTCCAGAGCTTACATTTACTTTCACGATTGTCGTGATAGTGCGTAACTGCTCACAATGAAGATGTTAAATAAAGGCAACTATATTATACCGCTATTCAATAGTCATCAATCGATTTACTAGAAACTGAAACAAATCCGGGTCACAAACCAAAACCGTGGGAAACGCATCAACTATAAGAGGAACACAACGGAATAACAGAAACACTGAACTGCTACAAAAACAAACATTAACATACAAAGAAACAGAGTATTCGATACCAACTGCCATATGCCTGACTTGGTACAGGACATTTGAAGAAAAATGGTGGTTTGAACATGGTTTTAAACCAGAGTTCAAATGCAAAGTTGAAATCATCCCTTTTAAAATTTTATGGACGCCACAACGAGTTGGTTGACAATTATGAAATATCTGTTTTGCCAGATGACGATTGATAAGTTCCAATCGATGTAACTAAAATACCGTCATTTCTGCCTTGAATGTCACCTACCGAATAAGGCTTGGCACCGAGGTAGGAATTACACGAGCCACAAGATGGGTGTCACATGTGGAACATGATCTGCTCACCCTTTTGGATCCCCTGAGTTCACCCCAAATATTTTTGGGGGGTTTGTGTTACTCAATCTGTAGTTTTATATGTTGTGTTTTGTATACTGTTGCTTGTCTTGTTCGTTTTTTGCCCGGCTTTGTCAGTTCGTTTTCAATTATGAGTTTGATGTCCCTTTGATATATTTCGTCACTCTTCAAGTAGTAAAAGTTTTAAAAATTGTTGATCTTTGTAGTTAAATGTATCATGATAACGATTTGGTTCTATATAACCGTGAGCAAATTAAGTTATTTTCGCGGATCTTTGTCTTATTGCGTTAATCTTCTTCACTTTACTTTGAAGCGATTTTTTTTTGTCGATTTTCATTACTGCAAGTTAATATCTTTAAAGTGAAAAAATACCAAAAGGACAATCAACATCTCAAACCATGAATCAAATAAACTTAATTAAAACCATGAACAAAATAAAATTAAAGTCCAAGAGACGAACAACAGTCCACAAAACACAGCACAGCATGAAAACGATCACTGACTAAAACAGAGAATGATTATATGAGGTCAGGAAGGTATTCAGCTTTTTCATTTTTTTATTTCACAACTGCTTATAGTGTTTTACATACACAGTGACCTGCATTTGTATTTTAAAAGCTTATGTTGAAAATACTCAATCCTATCTCTATACCTTTGAAATTTGGTTTGTGAGAATAAAGATATATAGAAGCATCTTTTATTCAAATAATTAAAGAGATTAAACTTCTAAACACATTTACTATGTCTAACACGATTTTAAACTAAATAAGAAGCAGCAGCATTATTTGTAGTTCGTTTACATCCCGCTTTAGACAACCAAGTGTTTCTAAACAAGGTTACTTATTTCAATGTTGCCTACGATTTAGTCGCAAAGTCATGTTTGCATTTAAACATGATTAAAAAAAAGTAAATAAGTTTGACTTCTTAAAAACATATTTTTACCTCAATTAGCTCGTATATATTCTTTTCGAACTTTAAATACCCCTTCTTTTATTATGGAAAATCATTCTTTCCCCTGATATTGACAATTAGCGATGTGCTATCTTAACATAGAATAACAACATGATCGCTATTTGCAGATGGCAGATTTTTGGGCAACTGCAAACACTTCAATAGAAGGCTGTTCTATGAACAATAATTAATAATTGCATCTTAAAATTACAAAACAAATATTCCTTGACCTAAAACATATTATTTATCTATTTTTTTAGCATACAAATATCGATCCCCCAAGATATATTTTGCTTTTGGAACAATTTTTCATTTTTTTTAGGATTTGTGATGAATTTCAATTTTCGGGAAATATTGCGCATATAACCTGTTATTTTTTGTTTGATTTGGAAATAATGTATTATGTCATATAGAGTTCATATGATCTTTTGAAAAAATTTATGGTACAAGAATTAGAAAATGGCTTTTTGTTTAGTAATCGCAAAAACTGGAATGTTTTTTACATGACCTTTGACCTTGATTTAACAGAAAATGCACCGTACGATTTTTTTACGACCGGACAAAACAGAAAGTACAGATTATTAGCTTTCGAATGATATATAATACAGCCGTGTGTTAGGTGGGTGCATTAAAGTCGTAAACTAAGCGCCTTTTTGAAATAAGTCACTCGCCTACTACCTTATCATCTTGATTAGTGAAGTAACAAAAATTATAGAGTCTAAGAAAATCACATCACTGTATCACATTTGTAAATGGAATAAGCATTATAAAAGACAAAAACAAAGCCTCATCTTTGAAACAATATATGATATATTAGCAGATATTTAACTAATGGGCAGTTATGAAGAAAGATGAAAACCAGCTCAAAGCCCTTTATCAGCTGATAAATAATTTATCTCTTCTGACAATCTTATATCAGCAGCCATACTTCTGAATACATTTTTTACAGCAATATGAAAAGTGCAAGAAATCACAACTAAGTGCAATGGCAATTGTATGGTCACACATTCCAGTACACTAAAGGAAAAACAGAAATATTAAAATTGTGATTCAAAGTGTAAATAAACCAATTTATTTTAATTTTACTCTTTCTATTGGTTATGATAATGCAAAATTTAAGTTTTGACACTAAGTTTTTTTAGAAATAAATATTAGGGTTAAGCACTGATCTACAAGTATGTTTACTAGATGAGTAACATTGTCACAGGCTTTTTGTTTGTTGAAAATTGTTTATTTTGTGTATCGCAGGAAGAAAATTTTAGATCACGTCTTAAAGAAATGGTGCAGACTTAAAGCAAGCACGAAAGCCTTTAGTTTATTACCCAATGTTTCGGCAGTTATCAATGCTTTATCAGTTTTAAAGGCTATTGGTCAAGCAACTGCTTCAGGTTTGTTTGTATATAGATTGTTGCGTAAGTACTGACATGTTTTATAACATGTTTTTCTAAAATTTACCATTGATAAATTTATTAATAACTAAGAAACTTAAGATAACAACTTCCTCAATATCTATATCAAATTCTTTACTGGTATGGTCAGAATTTAGCTTATTAGTCTCAGTTGTTGCGAGCTTGCTGAAATGTTCGTTCTAACCTTAGAGTATATCTTCCTTTGTAGAATAGGTTTTATCTTCTACCGTAAGATCTGATATGGTAGTTTTTTTAGTTTTCCTTTGTGCATTTACAAGCTTATGTAATATTTTGCTGTCTCCTTCTTTGGCGATCATGATCTTCTGTAGTGACTCATCTCGTTACCGTGCAATTTCTTGTCTTCGGGCTTTGCGCAGTTGCTTTTTAGTTCTTTTTCGTTCTTGCATTTTTTCACCAGTTGTTGGTTTTCCTTCCTGTTTCCATTTATAAAGTAATGATTTTTTTTCATTTTCAATGAATGTTCCATCATTCCAAATATGTTTGTTTCGTTGAGTTGATATTTTGGTTGATGATACTATACTTCTTTGCTTGTATGGCATCCATTAGTTTTATTATAATTGCAGTCGAGTCAGTTATCTAGTCAACGGAAATGTTCCTCGGCGCTTTTGGTGAAACATTCCTGATATATCTGTAAATTTATTTTTTCCCATTTTATTTTATTTGATTTTCAAATTTGGTCTTGCCCTTTCTTAGTTACAATCTCTGTTTTGAATTCCGTTAACAGTGGCTAGTGATCATAAGTGTTGTTTGATAACATGTCCAGGCTTATAGAGTTGTAGACTTTGTCAGCCAGTCTGTCATGTACAAAGGTATAATCAATTGTTGATGTTTTATTGCCATGTGGATGAATGAATGTTAATGGGGTTGCTTTAAACGTTAGCTTCTTAGATTTTATGATGTCGTCCATCTCACTTAGTCATGCTGATTTGTTTGTTGTTTTCATCAGATTACAATTCCAGTCGCCACACAGGACAGGACTACATGTATCAGAGTATTTAACAATTATCTCGTGAAGCTGGTTTTAACATTCTTTGAAATGTTCATAGCCTGTTTCGACCCTCTGCATGGCATATAAACACTGATTAACAGAATCGGCTTTGGTTTTACATTTAGTTTTATGGTTGAATATCTTAATTGCGTATAATACAAAAACAATCATATGACATCGAAATAAAGTAGGAAAAACCAAAAAGAAACACACACAAACAAAACAAAAACTTGACCGACCATACGGAACAACATATACCTGAAAAAGTTACCATGAGGACAATACAAATCCAAAAGATAAACATTTTCTACGTAAAAACACATTTAGATTTTGGGAACTAATAGTTATTATTTTATTTATTTTTCTGTGAGACCATGCTACAAATAATTACTAGTGTTATTTTTATTTCTAGATTCAGTAGCATATTTAATATCATATCACAAAACCACAATAAACATTCAATTACTGAATAACCTTCATGAAGTTGCTGTCCAAAATGCATTACATTTATTACCAGATGATATAAGTTTGTCTTTAATATTGACCAATTTGATGTTTTACTTACAAATTTATACATTTCAACCTAACATTAAACACTATCCCTTTTCCCATACAGCTCTAAATGAGGACATAATATAGGTTTAGATTCCATATTATTAATTTTTATTTTTTTTAACATATCTCATATCTCGAATCATAAATGTCAAACGATATTCAGTGTCTTTGATATGTTAACAACTTCTATATTTCCATGTGCAGTGGTGACCTGGGTACAAATTTCCCTGGTCAGTGAGAATAACACTAAATCTGTTGTAATATGAACTGTATGACGAATACTCAGCCAGCCTCGCACTGAATTCACAAGCCTGTTCCATAACCTGAAAAATGGAAACGGTTTGAGAGGACTGAACCATATTTCATGTTAAAGATAAGTTAGACGGCTTTTGGGAGACACTCTTTCAAAATGATCGGTTAATGTAACACGTGGTAATCTACAAACGCTGTACGATTTATTTGTTCTTTGTTGTGTTGTTTATACTTATTTTGGTGATTGTATGTTTAGTATATATCTATTGAAATATAATATCTTGTCCAAACTATACAAATGATTGAATACATCTTTAGTTTTTTTTAAAACGTTTTAATTAAGATATGCTGCATTTATAAGCGACATACTTGAAATTTTCCATTGCCACTGCATCGCAAGAATACCGCAGTATGATCTGTCCACCTGTTGTTGTATGTTCCATGCTCAAATGTTGCTATAGCGGTCCCCGCTGCTACATGTCCTGTACCATGCTGACAGTATGCGGCCACCTTTTATCAGATAGAATTAGTATTTTTCAATTATGAATTAGAATGACAGTAAAAGTCTTTTATCATATTACTTTTGATTTAAGGATACCAAAGTGTAATATAAACTATGATCGAAAATTGAGAGACAATGCCATGACCATAACAAAAATAATGAAAAAAAGAAAACCACACTACAGAAAACAACATACACAATGATAAAGCTGCACTTACCACACAGGTTAAACTGGAATTAAATAGTTTTTTTTCAATAAAATATAATTTTTTAAACGGTAGCATGAGCTCTATATTTACTAGACCAAAATTATTTAGTGAAAATCTACCACAATCAATCATTGTGTAAAAACTCTTAAAAGGTAATTATTCATTGTAGGTGTACGAAGGAAAAGACATAAGATATAACCTTATATACGTCATGATTTGAAGTAAGTTCTGGCTGTATCTGTAATTCAGTTTCAATAGGATTTACATTATCACCAAACTTAAAATGATTTAAAAAGAAATCACATTGAAAGTGCTTTACAGTCAATAGAACTGCTATTACAATAAGGAAAGTTCCTGTAGATTTGAGGACTTACTAAGCAATATGACACTGTTTGTAAAGACTGCGTTCCAGTTCATTATACAGTATAGTGAAAGAATATCTGTTCATCTTTGTTGAAACACATTAAACACATTGCTGATCATTGTTAAAAAAAGGAGATATGGTTTGATTGCTAAATAAGGCAACTATCCACCTTCGACCAAAGCAAGTGTGGATGTAAGCATATCTAGGTCACCGTACGACCTTCAACATTGAGCAAAACGAGTACCGTATAATAAGCTATACAAGGCCCAGTTGTGTAACAGTACATAGGAACAAACTCTAAAAATCAGTTTGAAAGGGCTTGCTTCATCAGATCGACGCGAATCCCCCAAAACATGAAGGGATATATTAATATTCTTTTATGGAGGTATGTTTTCTAAAATTTGGTTTAAACATAAATGTCACACTAGGTATCGTAGATTCGGTTAAGTCTTTAATTCCAATTTATTTTAAGGACCTCACAGATTTTGCCAATTAGAATAACTTATGAAATTGTTTTTTGTTAAAAAAAAAATTGAAGAATTATTGGTTAAACGTTAAATGATCAAATAAAATAACATGCACATGTTATCTTGATCTGATGATTAAGTGGTGTCCAGTCCTTTTCATGACCTCTTAAAACTTTTGCTGTTTGTTTGATAAAAAGCTTTATCAGTTAGATCATGTTTATTTAAATAATCATCACAACTAATTTGCAATAATGAATCTTAAAACATAATATTTACGTTATAACCGGGAGACCATAGTCCTGTATACGGAGCTCCGCATGCGCATTTTACTAGTGCAACACACTGGCCTCCACAAGACGACCCAGAGCAGTCGTACTGAGAGACTTCATCAAATCTGTGATGAACATCAACTTGCCATTCGTTGAACGTTTTCTTGGCGCAGACAACCGGCACCTTCGCGTCAGATTCTATTGTTAAAAGAACTGCAAAATACCATTTAATAAAATGCTCCTAAAACAAATCTTCCACAGAGTTCTTCAAAAATTTTACCAAAATAGAATTAAAAAAAAACAATTTCCAAAATATCATTCATCATTAATAAAATGTCTTTAAAAAATCTATAAAAACTTACCTTTAATTATTTTTCAAAATATCTAATAATGAACAGTAAATTTCAAACTATGTCTATACATAATTTCTTCTCTAAAATTAAAAGTTGATGCTGTATTTTTAATTATTAATCTACCTACAATTTCTATTAATTGAGCAATACAGCTCTGAATTTGGATTGTGCTTAAATATTTGACATAGCATAGGTTTCTGACACAGAATGAATGTGATCTCAGAAATCAAAAATTTGAAATTGGACATTTACCTAGTATGGTCCAATATCCAAAATCGAAATACATGGTAAGATTCAACATAGCAAAGAACCTCAAAAAAACGATTTTTGATGAAATCAAACAAAGTTTAGTTTTGAACCCTTGGGACCTTATTGTGAAACAATTTGAAAAAACGGGACCAAAATCAAAAACCTAAATACATGGTTAGATTAAGCATATCAAAGAACCCCAAGAACTCAAATTTTGTTGAAATCAAACAGTATAATTTTGGACCCTGATTTGGACCAACTTTGAAACTGGGCCCAAAATCAAAAATCTAAATACATGGTCAGATTCAGCATATCATAGAACCCAAAGAATTTAATGTTTGTTGAAATCAAACAAAGTTTAATTTTTGACCCTTTAGACATTCATGTGGACCAATTTCAAAACGGGCCCCAAAATTGAAATTGTAAATACACGGTTAGATTCAGCATATCAAAGAACCACATGAATTCAATTTTTGTTGAAATCAAACAATGTATAGTTTTGGACCCTGATTTTGACCAACTTTGAAACTGGGCACAAAATCAAAAATTTAAATACACGGTCACATTCACCATATCATAGAACCCCGAAAAATTCGATTTTGATGAAATCAATAAAGTTTAGTTTGAACATTTGAACCTTATTGTGGAACAAATTGAAAAAAAATCGGGCCCAAAATCAAAAATCTAAATACATGGTTAGATTCAGCATATCAAAGAACCCCAAGAATTCAATTTTTGTAGAAATCAAACAAAGTTTAATTTTGGACCCTTTGGACCTTAATGTGGACCAAGTTGAAAACGAGCCCCAAAATTAAATATGTAAATACACGATTAGATTCAGCATAATAAAGAACCAAAAGTATTCAAGACTTTGAATTAAACCCAATTGAAATTAGTCAAGAAATAGGCAATTCATACTAAGTATTAGAAAAGTATTGTTGCTTTTCCCTTAACGGTTAGGGCCATAATCCCAAAAATCAATCCAGCTTTCTTTTTTTTTTTGGTATGCAACCTTGTGGTATAATTTCATAGAGATCCATAGACTTATACTCAAGTTATTGTCCGCAAACAAAAAAATCCAAGTTTTTTGCGAAACGGTTAGGGCCATAATCCAAAAGTTAAATCCCAACCTTTCTTTTGAGGTATGGTACCATGTGGTACAATTTTTTAGAGATCCATACACTTATACACAAGTTATTGTCCTGAAACAAGAAAAATGCTTGCTGTTTGCCCTTTGTAGGTCCCTTATTCCTAAACAGTTTTAATAACCTCCAAAAGCAATTCCAACCTTTCTTTTGTGGTATGGAACCTTGTGATACAATTTCATAGAGATCCATACATATACCCAAGTTATTGTATGGAAACCAAATGTCTTTGGACGACGACGACGCTGATAACGTCATAACATTATACGACATTTTTGCGGTAGTTTAAGGAGTATAAACAAAAATACCGAACTCTAAGGTAAATTCAAAGACGGAGAAGTCCATAAAAACTGGCAAATTCAAACGTAAGACTACATCAACCAATACATCGATTGTCGTATTCCTTTCTTGGTACAGGCATTTTCCAAAGATATTGATGGGTTAAACCCGGTTTTACAGCTTGTGAAAGCAGAAATGAATGACAATTGTTTATAGTTCCGTTATATTGACAAAATTGGGTGACCAACCCAAACAGACATAAATTGTTAATCAAATTTATGAATTGGGTTTTGATTAATTGTTTAATAACGAAAATGTGTTCTATTTCATCATTTATAAGGCACAGGTAAACAGTGTATATAAAGTGCGAATCCAGTTAGTTCATTTTCACTGTCGTATGCGAGTATGTCTATTGTAGTATAAAGGATGATGGGAAAAACTGTGTTTGTTTACATTTTGAAAATACAAAATAAATGATTTGAAAGTACTTTTTAACACAATTTCATTAGAATGTGTCTTTTTAATGTATAATAACAAGATTAAAGTCTAAAAAAGTGTAATTAAAGCAGCAGAATCCATAATATTGATTACTGAATGCGATTTATTTTAACTATAGCTGCGATGAATTATCACTGTAAGTGCAATCATTTCTGATGTGGAATTTTTGGAGGTGCGATGAATTTTCATTGTTGCTTTTATATATAATTCGACATGCGACAACTGAAAATAGTCTTTTAATGACTTTAATATTGATGGTATTCACAATTTGAAATGCAAGCTAGTCGTAGATGCTTACTTGAATATACACGGGTATAACCAACGAATGGTTGATTGTGGACGTTGTGCGTTGTGTGCCGTTCGTTGATTTTTTTCTGTACGTTCGTTGCGGGATTTCGTTATAACTGCATCGTTCGTTAGTAAAACATCAAGAAAATAATTTGCTATTGAAACTAGAAAACACCCGCGTCATCGTGGTTCCGTGACTGAATTAGAGTATCTATAATTATATATAAGCCTTATTTTTAGCCTGGATTTTTAGTACTCGTATGTCATCCGATAAAGTCATGCTGCTTAAAGATGCACGGTCTTCTCTGCTTTCAAAATCTTTCTGTTTTAACCCGTCGACCTGGAACTTATTACTTATTTGTAATATCAATTATTTGGAAAACAAAAGGGCCTGGAATGGTTTTATTTTTTTATCAACACCATTGTCCTATATTAGTTGTATATAAAGTTGATTTTTTTATTCACCGTTTTTATGTCATACCGGCTAAATGGATTTTTAGTATTCGTAATGTCATCTTATAAGGTCGTGCTGATTACAGTACAATAAGAAACAATGTGGTAATGCTTGAATTCAGTACGTCGACTGAGCATGCGCTAAAGCGTATAAGACACGGATCGATAACGGTCTCCGAATTTGGATATTTTCTCAAAAATTGGCGTTTTCTGTGGAAAAAAGATTGTTTTAAAGACAAATTTAGGAAGTACAAATTACTACATTTATACGTAATATTACAAATATTTCCGTTTCTGTATGGTTTCAGAGGAGTTGCGGCTCAGTGAAATCGGTCTCCTCCTTTAGTATTATTGATACATATCTTTTATTATTTTTAGCAAGCATTTGCAGCAACTATAACTATTTGACATTTCTAATATTTCCTATTGAAGATTAAGACAACATAAATTTTGTATTTGTTTGACGTGAAACAGAACTTACTTGAGCAAGAGAAGCCCACTCATTGCGCCTGATTGCAATCGAGTTTCTAAGAAATCCAGTATTTTGATCTTGAAGTCAAAATTCAAGCTCACACAAAGGTCGGGTGATATGCGTCACATCGTTTTAAGGTGATACACGTTCATATCTTGCGTATTCAAATATTTAATCGAAAATATACTGGAGTAAACCATCTATGAATATAACGTATTTTTATGACGAAATTTTCATTGAAAAGGTTTAGTACTTTCTTGAAAAAGCTTTGAATTTGTCACGCCGTTTCTTACACATTTCTACCATATTGATAGGCTTCGTACAACGAACAGTACACGAATTTACAACGAACGGTACTAAAGAAAGCAAACAAACTCCAAAGAGAATAAATCGTACAGTGCCCAAATTTTGAGTTCAGTTTTTTTCAATTAAATGTCTGCAAATAAATACAACGACGGGTTTCTCATTCGCATTATCTATTTTAAATAACAACAAATCACAAAATACACGGTCGCATTTAGTGTAAGAGCCAACCAATTAATATGCTTTATTTGCAGTTGAATCAAGTTTGAGTTACATATAATGGTTGTTTCGCGATATTTACAAGTAATTCACAGACCTGTATATTTAAAATATTGACAGGGTGTTCATGTAATACAAATAAACAATTCTGTCAGGAACAAAACTTTGTTTTTATAAACATTGAATACTTGACTGAACAGTACGTCAATTAGTCGTTGGTGAAAATATAAGCCTAATAGGACTCACAAAGTATGCATATATAATCAGTCCTTCTAACTTCATACATTTTGTCAGAGAGTCGGCTGAATTTAGACTTTATATGATGAAATTAATTTATTTCCTTCTGTGAAAATACATCGCATATACAATAGAAATGAATCGCCCTACAGTGAAAATGAAAGTCAAGTATCATTATTCAACAGTAAACATGAATCGCACAACGAAAACAGCTATAGTGGAATTTAATATTCAATATCAATAAAATAAGTAATAAAACCTGTTTTAAGTTATACAACATTAAAAATAATTTGTTAAAAGGTACATTTTTCTGCAAATGTAACTTAACTGCTGCTTTTAAATCTCTTGCACGCTCTGTTCGTGAACTATTCTTAATATTTATCTATTTGTGTATCAATTTTACACCTGGATGGCTATATGCGTGATGAAACCACATTTGCATCTCTTACCTATATCATGAGTTTATAAACACAGTATATATTATATATTATTTCGTATTTTATTCAAAAATCATGAATTTGTCGTCTGTTTATTTATCATTCTACATCAGAAATTCATAGCGGATACAGTGAAAATGGTATTTCAGGATTCGCACATTACATACACTGGGTAAAGAAGTATTTGTTTGTGTGTGTATTATCTGAAAAGAATAAGATAACGATGCAACGCAAATACAGGATAGACCACGCCGTGCTCATGCAAACTTATTGGCAGAACAACAAGTATAATATGATTGTCCAGTGTGAATGTACTAACAGTATCTACCATACTTGATTAGTGCAAACACACCAATCCACGGCTGTCATTCGGTATATCAAGAAAAATAATCGTTAAAGAATAAGTAACGGTAGTCAAGTATTGCGATTGGATCGTGAAGGATCTGGTATAGGATCGTGAATGAAATATTATCGAGAAGACTCATGCAACGTCAGTAAATAATCTGATTTAATCAATTATAAAACTGTCTGTCAAATGGGTCAACATTATGGTCAGTATCCGAGAAAAATCAAGACTTAAAAGTACACCGTTTTTACAAAACTACAAAAGGCAGATTGCTCTTCGAAATTTCAGAGAAATAAAAATGTAAACGAACATGATTTATTTCAAATTTTTAATGTATAAACTACTTTTCTCTAGAAATGTCGTTCAAAACTACTGTTTAAAATAGTTCTTAAAATTATTTTGATTTAGTTTATTCAGAAACTTTGCAAAAACGGTAATATTTGTAAAAATTTGAAATTTCGGATCGTGAAAGATCGGGTATCGCATTTTGATGATCGTGAATAGGCTCGTGAAAGATCTGTTGCCGCCTATTCGTTATTCGTTATCGATCAAATCTTTCTTTAAACAAGTGATAATTTATATTTTTAAATTGGTATATCACAAGATTGAATTTACATGACTTAATCCGCTTCACTTTTGCTTGTGAATAGGTCTATGATGGTTGAAATCCATTGTATCTGATTATTTGGTAATTCTACATAATTGGTTAGCGTGGCCATCTATGGGATCAAGCAGGGTTCAAACACACTTACAATAAAATCAGACAAAGACGCCAAAGAAAAAGCTTTTGTAGTAAATAATACATTCAGTATAGTAAAGCATAATTCCGGAGCCCCTTAAGTGCGAATATAAGTATACTCGTTTGCCGGAGATTTAATCTGGTGCGCACCAGTTTGAAAACTCGTGCGCACGACTTTCAAACTTGTGCGCATGACTTTCAAACTGGTGAGTATGACTTTAAAACAGGCGCGCACGACTTTCAAACTCGTGCTCACGACTTTCAAACTCGTGCTCACGACTTTCAAAAATAGTGTGCACGACTTTCAAGAACTGGTGCGTCTGACTTTCAAACTGTTGCGCATGACTTTCAAACTGTTGCGCATGACTTTTAAACTAACGCGCACGACTTTCGAAATGTTGCTCACCACTTTCAAACTCGTGCTCACGAATTTCTAAAATGGTGTCCACGACTTTCAAGAACTGGTGCGCTTGACTTTTTAACCCGTGCACACGACTTACAAACTTGTGCGCACGATTTTCAAACTGGCGCGCACGACTTTTAAAATGGTGCGTACGAGATTAAAAGTCGTGTGCACGAGATGTAAAGTCGTGCGCACGATTTTTCAAACTAGTGCACACCAGATTAAATCTCCGGCAAACAAAAATATTTCTATTTACTTGGTATTTAAGGGGCTCCGTAAGGGGCTCCTTACATAATGACATACTTTTTACACATTGTAACTTTGATGGAGAGTTGTCTCATTGGCACTCATATCACATCTTCTTATTTCTATATACACTTTCCCGATAAAATACAAAAAAAAAATAAGTACAATGGTATGTAAAATGAAACTACGCTATAAAAAAACGCATGTGTCCTTATCGCATCTCTGGACCCACCCATATTAAGAACGCCAAAAGTCAAAAACCAAAAGCTGGACGCACATATACCGAACCACGTCAAGAGGCATGCGATCAAATAGAACATAATACTAGTAGTACAAGGACTAATAAGGGTAAAACTGTAAAGTAGATAAAATGCTACACAGAGTCAGCACCTAAAACCCTGGCTCATTAATTGTTTGCTCAGGCACTGATAACGTTTTACAAACTCTGAGTATCAGATGCAAGCTCCTGAAAATCGTATGAGTTGAGAAATGTATAATTCATACACGAATGAATTTGGTAAATCGCTGCTAAGGTGAGGAAATTTTATAATTTCAAAATTGAAATCATCTCGTTTGTCATAGACTCTGGTATTAAGAACCGCTGTAGTCAAATTCGGGGTATATGTCTACAAATGAGGCCAAGGAAGCTGTATATGTGGTGTCTGTCATCTCTAGTCCATGATCACTATTAATGGGACCCAATAAGAAAAGTTTGTATTGTTAATGGAAGGAACATCTTCAATATACTTATATGTTAAAGTAAATGATATAGCTTCTTTGATCTAACCCGTATGAAAACAAAAACGTACATATTAAGATATTTCCAGGGGAAGACCAACATACCCCCTCTCGCTTCACTCATTTGTGGATGCATTATGCATTATATATACAAAGATATTTACTTTTCAACAGTTTACGCTCCTGTGGGGCTTATAACTTGGATGCCTAGGTACATGTAGCATTGCCTCGTAAATAAAAACAGGTCTAAATATAGGTAAATATTGATATATATATATCACCAACAAAAATTAAAGCATTGATTTACGTTCTTAGAAAGTAATTACACGCTTCAACCAATTACAAGTATAAAAATTGGTAAAACAAATGCTGTTTTCAGATCATTAATTCTGGTCACGCCTGGTCTTTCACGATCAAAAAATGCGTTGAATGATCTTTCACGATCAATTTTGAGTAAAAATGAACAAAAATATACTTTTTCAAAAATAATATGAACTTTTTCAAGTAATAACATACAAATATTTTACTGGACTATCTGACACAATAAAGATTAAGTTTCAAATATATCATGATATATTGAAATGTGACCATTATTAATACAAACAGTGATTTTTTTCTTAATGATTCTCATTGGATTGTGTGTCGCCTTTTGTGTTTTCTTAAAAAGTACTGCATTTTTTTCATTAATTAAGTGCACAGTTTTATCAAGGAAGTTGAATCATTTTGACAGACATAATTTTTTTTTTCTAATTTGTTCCACCTTTTTTAAAATTCAGCAGATTTTTTTCACAGATTTTGAAGTAAAACTACACTTAATTGCATTCTCGATTCGATACCAGATCTTTCACGATCCGATCGCAATGCTTGACAACCGTTAGTTATTCTTTCACGATCATTTCTCTCGATATACCGAATGACCCCCATGCGATCGTATAAATGATGTATTATCAGTGAAAACTTACCAACACTGCAGACTATGACTGCCCAATGCTGCATATTGAATGTAAATAAACTAAAGAAAGAAAAAAGAAAATAGAATACAATAACTTATTTCATCATTAAAAGAATGTAATATTTGAAAATATGCATTACAGGAATTATTATGTTTACCTAATATTATTCAGGGAAAAAGTTACAATTTTATGTACCAATAAAAGAGCATATGTTCTAAACGACAAATGAAATTTGAGCGGTCAAGGCAACGGTCATTTTGGTGAAATAGGAATGAAAACATAACGCCCAACTGAATGAAGGGGAAAACAGGAAATAATTGACTAAAAAAAAACAATCCCAGCGAGTTATCCAGGCAATATGTGATTCTTTTAACTTTGAGTTTAATACTAGAGAATTTTAGGTTTTTGACGTACTAAAAAGTAATATACCTTAACATTTCAAAAACACGTTTATTGTTATCTCCCGTTGACCATTTAATTTGTAAATTAAACAAAAATCGTATATTTTGACGTACGTAATACACCTTAACTTGGTCGTTGTAAAATTGTGTTTGTCTCCCTTTCTCCATTAGTTCAAATCTATTTAAAATAGCGTATTCCACGAGCGAGAGTTTACACTTGTCTTATATTTGAACATACGAAAAGGCAAACTTTGTTCGCAGGGGACACATGTATATTTTGAATGATATACAGTTAACATTTTTTCCTATTTTCGTACAAAAAGAGTTTTTTTTCAACTAATTTGTGAATATGGTGTGCCGCGTTTAAAGAGATACGGGAAAATAAGTTTTTGAACATATTTATTCTAAAAAGGGTAAAGTTGATCAAAGATGAAGGCCTTGTACACGTTCAGTAATTTAGGTAAATATATACATGTAGGTTGTAATGTTTCCTAATATTTAAGCATATTAAAATACACGGATTATTTGATTATCAGATCGTTTTGGGGGTTATTTTATTTGATTGCCATTAACATGATTAAGGGCTTTTGTTAATATTTGTGAGAATACCAAACATATTTGTTTTTGTCTTATTGATTACTCAGATTTTCTTTTTTTTAAATGAATGATCTAATCTGTGTCGTGTGTGCTATAATCTATCAAAAAAAGCAGTTTTTGAAAACTTTTATCTGGAAACTTCATTATTCAAGTGGTGTGATAAACTTGCCATGTTTAGAATCCCTTGAAAGATGCAGATTCAAGAGTGTCAACAGGGGTGTTACGAACGGACGGACCGACGGACAGGCCGAGGGATTGAAGGTAGCATTGTGTTACTATAACCTTTCGAAGCATCGCTGGGGAAAGGTAATTACTCTGAAAAAAAGAATGCTGTCGCGGGAAGAGAAAAGGTGGGGAAAGGTAATTACTCTGAAAAAAAAAATGCTGTCGCGGGAAGAGAAATGGTGGGGAAAGGTAATTACTCTGAAAAACGAATGCTGTCGCGGGAAGAGAAAAGGTTGAGGTGTCGACAAAAAAAAATCCAAGTCGACATGAAATTTATCCAAGGCGAGATACGGTATCAAATGACGCAGAATAGGTAATACTATCATAACCATTTATGTCAAAGAAGCATGATTCGATTCGAAGATTATTGGACCCTTTTACCACGATTAGTGTATTAACCTTAGATATTGACTGTCACATGGCAATGTTGTACTAGCTTAGCTGCCAATCAAACCATTACATTACCACAACAGGTGAACCATGCCGAGTAGGGTTTTCGGAAATGGTCATCTTTATATTTTTTTCCTGTTGCATTGCCTTAAATATTGGAGTCAAATTAGGCATAAGCGACAATCAAAGCTAAATGAAGCAGCATATTTGATTTGTTAAAAATCCGTGTATCTACTCAAAGGAGGTCCCAAAGTAAAGACTTACCTAGCTCCGAAATTACCTTTTATATTGGTTTCTGACAAATGCATTTGAATTTCTTTCAATCAAAGGAAAACATGTGATAGTATTTTCAAATCAAGAGTAATACATCAATAACAATAAATCATAATCTAAAGTATTTGAAATAACTTTTAGAAAGATTCATTCAATTGTAAATATGCAACATACATTTCTATCGTTTCCTATAGTGAGAGTTCAATTTATGTTGTTCGGCGACGGGTAGCTATCAGACTATATCTGCTTCATGATAATCCAGACTACAACAAACTTGGATATATAGCAAAACCGTCTCTTTTTCCGTAATCGATTCACGTCATTTTTCTAATTTTCCAAAAAATAGGTAGCATCCAATTACTGACCCCCACCCCTGGTACAGCCACTGAGTAAATTATTTGTAACTTTTTATCTGTAGTACTCAGACAGTACATGGCAAGCTTGCATGGTCTGCAGGCAAACTACCGAGTATTACCAACGATATTTGACTTTCTTGTGATCAACTGAAATTGATGCGCAGAATTCCATAAGTGATGACCCTGACCTTTGACAATTTTTTTTTGGTTGAAGTTCATTTTCTTTTCTGAGTCATAATTTTTTTTAATTTTTTTTATAAATAATATATCATTATTGTTCAGTATATCTTTTTTCCTCGATGTATCTAACAACTATTGCGTTTCAAGTCACATAATCACGAGACAAACGTGTAAGTTATTAAACTTGTTTATTATAGGATAAACACATTTTTTCTAGAGGTTATTGATGTGTAAACCGAAGACGATTAACTCACAAACTGAATAAAAGTCCTTTTTATGTTAAGTTAGTGAGTAAGAGCCCCGGTTTACACATCAATAACCTCTAGAAAAAATGTGTTTAATCCTTATAACTCTTCAGCCAATCATTCGCGATTTTTAATTAACATTTTTTGTTTGATGGCTTCTATATTTACCATCAAAAGCAGAATGGCATGTCGTAACTAAGGAGTAAGCCGCCATCTTGCATTTCTAAAAACCATAATTGTCCGATAAATGCAACAGAATCTAAAACCTAATAGCACCTACCTCAAAAACTTCATTTTAATAAGATATTATCCGAATTTGAAGCGTACAAGTAACGAAATAATCTTTCGCTTGAAAGTTTTCATTCGTATGACGTCGTGTTTTGTCATGACGTAAATTCGCCAAATCAAAATAAAGATTGAAAAACAAAAAATCGAATGGTCCGTGCCTGATACAGGAATGATATTTTAGAATTAAAACAATATTATAACTATCCAACTGAAATCTAAAATGCTGAAACTGGCGAAGAGAGACAACCACAATTTATATTATGTCTTGATTATAAGTCCATATAATTGTAAGCCCAAGTTACTTGCGTTAACGTACGTAAGTTTCGTTTGAAACTTAAAATTCTCTACTAGTTGAACATCTCTATTGTCACACAGATGATTGTATAAGCGTGATAAATGGGCCGACATACATTCTCTTAGATATCATGCTAAATTGTTAAAAAATGAAAATAATAACATCAAGATTGTTATACCAAACGTTGTGTATGTAAAGAAACTTAAAATTATGATATAGCGACTCTTTCTCAAACGCTTGTTGAGAAAAATACATATGTATTATATGGCAAACATTAACATTATTAAAATTAACTACATTTTCCTTTCTTTCAGAAGTAATGTTCATTATTCTCACCTCAATAATTCTCAAAGAAGTTTCAGATCGGACTGCAATTTTCTTAGATGCATAGTATATGCATTTATAGCGTTGTCTTATCTCCTACAAGGAAATGGGGCAAAGTTATTGTTAGGAATACGTGACGTTTATCTTCTACAAGGAAATGTACATACATATCCAAACCTGATATCTTCTCCATATTTAATTTGCACCCATTTTGTAATAAAAGCGAAGAATTTTTTAAATTCGTTTTTTGAATCATTTATCATTATGCATGTCTTTCAAGCAGGCTAAATATTCTTAAAAATGTCACATTATATACCAAAAGATGAAGTCTCAAGCGAAAACAAGAGTAAACTTTGCATGCGACATCTACAAAAAGTCATCAAATTAAAATTAGTTAGAGACATCCATTGCATACAAAATAGTTAAAAAATATAGAGAAAAAAAACCACCAGTAAATTGATTTTTACGGGTGTGCAGTTGAGCATGTATGCAATGAAGGTTCTCCTCATTACAAAATCTTGAATAGTTTGGAGGTCGGTTTAAACCCCTTTTTCTACGATTTAGCATGGATTCAAAACTTAATTTTTGGAACAATATAGTGAATAAGGATACATCTATAAAATAAATAAAGATTTAGAAACTAGTTAGATCCCAAACTTATTGCTTTTGCCAATCAGCACTAATATGTAAGTATTCCCGAGACAATATTAATATTAAATCAGATATGGAGAGAAGTGCAAATATTTCAGGAAAAATTCTAACTTATAAGTTAGTCTTCATAGATATAAGAAGATGTGGTATGAGTGCCAATGAGAAAACTCTCCATCCAAGTCAAAATTTATAAAAGTAAACCATTATAGGTCAAAGTACGGTCTTCAACACGGAGCCTTGGCTCACACCGAACAGTAAGCTATAAAGGGCCCCAAAAATTACTAGTGTAAAACCATTCAAACGGGAAAACCAACGGTCTAATCTACATATAAAAAAAAACGAGAAACGAGAAACACTTATGAACCACATCAACAAACGACAACTACTGAACATCACATATCCAACTAAGTCAGACATCACGTGACTTTTGTGACGTATACTAGCCGCCATTTTGTATTATATTGCCCCATATAAAATGCATAGGTGCTTCAATAAAGTTTAGTTTTCTCATGAACCTGACCCGTTTTCTAACTTTTGCAAATCAATCCTTGATATTCAAACATATTTCTATCAAACAATGTTGGTCTTAACAGTTTAATTTTTGATTAAATTCGGTCACTGGAGAATCGTAAAAACATGTACTTTTTCTCGTTATTTCTCCGTTGACTCAATGCTAAATGTACCGATACCCATGTCTACTTGTATAACAAATAAAGAAATTCCGTTAATAAAAATAAAACTTTGCAAATCGATTAAGTATATTCAAACATATATCTGGCGAAAAATACTATTTAAAACAGTTTAATTTCTGGGCAATTTCGGTCAAAAATCGATTTAAAAAAGTGAATATTTCGGGATTTTTCAAAATGGCGGATGATGTATATGGAAATGTTGCATCAAATCGAGGATTTGTATAGTGAGACTTTCCTTGATTTAATTTAATTTTCATGTAGAATCTCTGGTGTTTCTGTTATTTTCTTTGGTGATATTTCGATATGATTGATTTCAAAATTTATTGATTAAAAAAATATTATTTTAAGTGTGACATGGGAAAATTTTATTTTGACAGATATCCAGGATATACTGTTACCAGAAAATAGTTAACAATAAAATTTATAATAAAATTTTCTCTCTTCTTTTTTTAAAAGGTTTTTTTCCTGTTTTCTGTATAATTTATCTTTCTTTAGAAATAGATTTATACATTCCTTTTAGAACAAAAAAATATTTACGTCCCAAGAGAGAAAAAAATCCCAACAATTATTATAGATAAATATTCCATACCTTCAAAATCCCATCACTTGACGAACAGGTGAACTCTGACTTTGGATGTAATGTTACATAACAATATATTGTCAGGTAGACGTGCAAACCAAAAGCAACCAGGTGACATTAAACATCCTGTGTATACATGTATTACCAGAGTTTAAATTTTGTGATATACAAAAGTTTTCATAACTGTACAAATAAATATCTTCTCTTCCCCGTGTCAAACCAGAAGAAGTATGTATCATAATAAACTTTAAGAAAATATGAATATTATAAAAAAAAATCTTTAAAAAAATAATTTTTGCTTTAAAAGATAATCAAACTAATATTTATGTTTCTATAATTATTTTAAAGAAATATTTTGATTCAAATTTTAATTTAAATGGATTTTGTATTATTTCGTAAAAAATTAAACGAGATTTCATTGAATATGATTTTATTATTTATTTTTTTAATTCAATATTTTAAGCAAAATCCAGGCATTCAATAAATCGATATAAAGTTAAACTTGTGTAAAAAAATTTGTTATTGTATACATTTCCATAGATGCTCTGATTTCAACAACATTGTATACCCGACAATATTTATCGACAGAGTTATCGGTCCTGAATAGGACTGATATAGTTGGGTATGAGATTCCTGACTTAGGACAGGTGCAAACAAATGCAGCGGGTTTAAACGTTTTAAAGGTACCAAACCTTCACCCTTTTTATGAAACAATAGTGTAACATCACAACATAGAAAGACACACTATAAAATATCAACTGAAATAGCTTAACTCAATCAAAGGACATATTAACACCAGTGAACATACACTGAACAAATAAATTTGACCTATGATACAATGTAAATACAAAATAAATAAGCAAAGGGAAGATTAATAAAAGTAACATGTTATATCGGTATGAAATGTTAAACAATTTAAGAAAAACAATATGCTCGAACAAAAATATCAGCCATTTGCAATTGCTTAAAACACAGGTAAATGAAAATAATTTTGTTGTTAGGTATACGTGTACAGTTCCAATAGAGAAAGGAAATATCTTAACAAAATAAATAATTTTGATGTTTATAATACGAAGTGAAAATTTATAGTAATACCAAACACTTATCAAAGCTGGTATATAGACCAGATATAACCCTGAATAACATTAAATAACAAAAAAGCATTACAATTAGTATCAACAGGTCAAATAAACAAGAAAGTACGATTTGAGAGTACTCGCAGTTACTGACAGCTAGTTAAAAGCCAAAACAATTAATAATAAAAAATCATGCACCAGAGACTAAAATCAACTAAAACACATCCCAGGGATTTAGTATTTTAACGTCATGGACAGCCAAAGAAGACATGACTTGTGCAATGCCAAAAATAAATGTATCGACAGTCAGTAGGATAGTTTAACCTCTTTATAAATCAAAATGAACGTGGGTGTGTCTTTATACATCCCGTTTGAAAAGAATACAAATTTAGTTATGTTTTAATTTGCTGATGACAAAATCGATATTAGTGCCAATGTAAACTAAAGTTTGTTTAAAGGTTCGATGAGTTTACACGGATCACATAGTGATTTCCGCGCTTTAAGTACAATATTACCGTAAAATTTAGGATCTGAAATACCGTTTTTAATCAGTTTTCTACAGGTACAGCAAAATTTACTAATCAAATCTTTGTATCTATGAAAGAACAAAAGTTTTACGTAATTTATGGTAACGAAATCCCTGACTTAATAATTTACCAGTGATGCATTGATTACGTTCGTTAAAACCTATGACATCACTACACACACGGGCATAACGAACGAGTTGGGATATATAAACACCGTATGATGGAGCCAAAGGAACATTGCCGTCTAAAAAAGGAAAATTAACAATAGGGAATGAAAAATCGTCTCTTTTGTCGTAAATTTTCGTATAGAGTTTTCCTTTAGAGATTGAAATGTCCAAATCCAGAAAAGGACAACTACTGCTGTTTATGTTAGGTTTAGTTTAAGTAAGTTCTATTGGGTAAATTTCGGTAGTATATTAAGAGAACTCTGGATTATTTAACGAAAAAATATCATCTAGATAACGGAAGGTATTGTTGAATGTATCAACCAAATGTAACAATGACGTGTCTTTACTGAGTTTGGTCATAAACTGAGATTCATAGCAATACGGGAATAGATCTGCTATTAAAGGGGCGCAGTTAGTGCCCATAGGAATACCTTCTACTTGTCGATACACTTTATTGCCGAAACGTACATATATGTTGTCCAGTAGAAAACTTAAAGCTTCAATCATATCTTCATTTTTCCAGTAAGTGTATCTAGCATACTTTCCTTTTTCGTTACAGAAAAAGGCTTTAAACGAGGTACAGCAAATAAATTTGTAATGAGATTTTACAATACAATTTACCGGCAACTCTAGATTTATAGTCTTTCCTTCTGTACTCATGTTAGCAAAATTCATTGGCAAGCTTATAGACGTTGCAATTGTATTACAAAATATTCTGCTAGAGCTTGGCTGCGGTCCAAGGGTGTTATTAAAGCGATGTTGCTTATCATTAGTAAGAGTAGAAAAAGAGTTCAAGGAGAAAAATAAATTGTGCGAACCCTTAACCTCATATCCAATCTAAGCTCATTCATCTGTCATTAATTCTGCTAAAGCTTTTACAAAACTTATATCTCCTGCTGTTATAAAACGTTATCTACCATCTCCTTTCATAACAACGCATTGTGGTGTGGCCATGGACGTCTTTTACTTTTGTAAATAGGACTGCTACAGGAGTTATCATTCTCAAAGGCAAAGCTTGATAAAATATTTAAACACAGAGATCCCGTTACTGTTCATTACAATTACCGGCGGGTCAGCGGTCAGTTGCAAACAGTTTCTGTGCAATAACTTATGAACCGTTCAACCAATCCTTTTCAAATTTTAAGATGTGGTTACTGATGACAAAATGAAAGTAATGTCTGATATCACCGTGTAGAACGCAATATGCGGGGTGTTGTCTATGTTTGACACGGGGTGGCGGTTTTGAAGCGGATAAAAAGCAATCAAGGTAAGTAAAAGTATCAAAAAATTTTTTTTCCATCACGCAAAAGCAGACGTTTCAAGTGCTCCGTTTTCTCAAACACCTCTCCCTAATTTTCTGTGTTGATGATTTTGAGACTTCATATGCAAGTTTCTGA